TGGATATATTCCAGAGGGAGGGGGAAACCTGTTCTCTCTACCTACGTGGCTGGCCCCACACACCTGGGTGGGGGTTTAAACCCTCTATTGTTCTAAGCAATGATATCAAGATGGGGGGGGGGGGGGGGGGGGGACCCTGCCAGTCTACCCGGCAACCAGTGACGTATTTCAAATTGTTGGCTGGCAGCCAACAACTGCTGACCTTCATTGGATCAGGTAAATGAGGTCATAAAGTCTATATAAGTTAAAGACTGCCCAGGGGGAGGGGCAGCAGCCATGATAAAGACACTGAGAGCAGCTGAAGCTCAGCAGTTCTCTATCTCTCTCTCTTGAAACTCATGGTCAATAAACTGCCTGCCTCCAGAGGAAATCTCCACCTGCCGCTGGATGATACTTGTGAGTAAGCTACTTGACATCTAACTAGATATATAGCTTGCAGTAACTCAGATGCATTATCAAAGGCTACCCAACCACCCTGTTTGCTCTAAGGTATTTCTGCGATATTGATCTACCCTGTAAGCTGTTTCAAACCTATTCCTTGTAATCAGTAAAGTTCTCCTCTGTACCTAGCCTGGGAGACTTATTGGGAAAGGGTCTAGATTATGCTTTGGAGTCCCCTTGGTCTGGCTGACTAAGGGAGACCACTTTTTGTTCTTCAGACTAAAGAAAGTGTCCCAAATTCTTGCAGTGGGTTGAGTACCCACTTCAGGTCTATAAAGCCTGTGTACCTTATGAGGCAGAGCCACTAACAGATCGAGACTCATGAGTTGTGGCAGTGTTACCCCCAGACTTGTGAGTGTGCTCCAGGAAGGGGGTTGGCCAGATATGAGGTGCCCCAGGGAGGCACCCAGAGCTTGACAGGTGGTTGGGCGCAGTGAGGTGAGTGGCTACTGGCCTGCCACAGGAGCTGCTAGCTAATTATACTTCATTTTCAGCACAACCAAAATTTCAACCCAGCATTCCAAAGTGAAGAATTAGGATGTTTTCTATATTCATTATTCATCACTTTTTCCTTGGTTGCGAATGAAAGAGCTGTATAATTCAATCAAAATAATTTTCTGCTTCAGTTTGTGTAATAATACTGACCTTTTCACATGCCTATGTGAGGGATGTTACTATGTATCTGCATGGTGTAAACTCCCAGTGAAGATGGACTGTAACAGAACAAGGGGAGGAATGCGCCTGGTCTAACTCACCTTGAGTAAAAGATACTCAGCATTCACTGATCCAGAAACTTTTTATGCAAGAATCCATAATGTAGATAAGCCATAAGCAGGGTTGCCAACTGTCTGTAAATTTATGGACACTATGGATATGGATATGGATAAATAATTAGGCTGAAAATGCCTGTCAATTCTATTAAAAAAACCTGCTGTCTGTAAATTGCAGAGCAAATATAACTCCACAAAATTAGCTCTGTAAAATCATGGAGCTACTGAAGCTCCATGGTTGGAAAGCAAGTTGCATGCACTATGGTTGCTGAAGCAAAGACATCACAGCACTGCCATTTGGTGCCTGAACAGGAGTGCAATACCCTGAAAGTAGCTTGTTTCAGGGCTTTGTGGCTCCCTCTCTAACTGCCCTCCTACCCTAGCCATGTGTGGGTGCTACTGCTGCTTTCCATCTGTTTGTAATGCTTGTAGGTGTCAGGTGGGCAAATGGTGGTCCTTCTTTGGGGGGGTTCATGCTTGGGTAGAAGGAGTGGCAGAGGTAGGCTGGGGAGTGGACTGGTTGGGGCAGCATGGTGTTGGGTGTAGTCAGCAGTACCAGGATGTAGGAGACCCTGGGGCAGTAACTCATAGGAGAAAATGTAGTCTACTGCATGAGTATAATAACTATTTTTCACTTTAACTGATTAAGCTCCATTTATACGTTATCTTAACTGGAAATATTTCTTAGATTTTGATATAGTTTTCATAATACTGATGCAGAATAGTGGGAAATAAGATTTTATGTAAATTCACTGAAAACATTCTGATTTAGACTGAATTTGTTTGTTTTCCATGATGGTAGTATTTACTATTAGTTCAATTAGCTTGATGGGATCAGCTTACTCTAGTCACAAACTCTAGCTTACTTCATAAAACACCTTTTTAAATTAGCAAATTGACCGGGGTAAGTAACCTAAAGATAAAGGCTAGGAAAACAGAACTTTGGTTACCAACCCAAGATTGATTGATTGATTAATTAATTAATCAATTAATTAATTTATTTTGCTGATAATTTTCAAACTTTTTTTACTGTGGTTTGATCCCAATCCTTGTCCAGGGCTTGGCAGGAGACTTAAATTTACATTATGTAAAACATATGTCAGTAAAAAAGTGTTGGTTATCAGTGAAACTTTGCAGATTGTTAGTAGAAAAAAATGTCATGGGTTGGCAATTCTGGCCCGAATAGATGTGAAATATTAAGAGCAATGAACTGTGACCCTCTGAACAAATTACAGTTGTAGCAAAACATTTTGGGGTGGGGTGAGATGGGGTGGGGGGAAGAAAAATGGTAGTAAATTGTGTTTTGACTTGTGGTGAAATTTTCTGTATTGGGGTATTTGTGCCTCTGAGAAATGTGAAAGAACTGATGTGTTGCTGTGATATGTGGGAAGTGTGATGATAAAGAAATTGTCTAGAAAGGAAGTTGTTCTATTTATTCATTTATTTTTGGCTAGCTACTTACTGGAATTGTCATGCTTTTTATTTTTAAATCCATGCTTTAAAAGTGGTATTTGCAGTGCTCTGCTTCAAATGAGATCCATCTGTGTAAAAATAACTTGGGTGTGAAATTTACTTTGTCAGAGCTGTCAGCATCACTTGGTACGTCTTTATTGTCTGCTGATTGTCCTTAATGATTTCTCTGTAATGGAGGCTTCTACAGTAGAAGACAGTAGGGCAAAGGTGCCCATGGTAAGGCCCAGGCAGTTAATGCGATTACAGTGTACCCTGAGGACCATGATGATCATCTACAGTTTTATTACTAATGTTGGTAAGCTCTAGAAAACCTTTAATTTGTCTGCCAAGGAAGATAAAGTATATGGAACTGATTTTTGCATACAAGCCACAATTGTGTTAAATTACATGCAGTCTTTAGACACCTGACAGGCTACAAACATGTAAACTTTGCTCATAGAATTTGGTCAACTTTGTATTGGTTGCTGTCCATTAGGGCTGTGCGAAGCTTCGGTCGCTGATTCAATTCAGCCTGATTTGGTGGCCGAATCTCTGAATCGAATGAGGAGACCCTTTAATCTCTCCAAATTGAATCAGAACCCTCTGAATCAATTCGTATGTAGACAGCTTTAAATGTTTTTTTCTACGTATCTCAAGGTACCTGGCAGCTGAACAGAGATGGTGGGGTGGATGGAGCATCCCACAGGAGCATGGGGTGGGGGGCGGGTGTCCCCAGCGTGTTCAGCTGTGGACCTGGAAGTGGATCAGAAGCACTTGTGGTCCACTTCCAGGTCTACCACGGGGTACGTGGGGGACTCCCCCCCTGCACCCCCAGCTTGGCAAATGGTGCCTCCTGGGTCGGGGGGAACCCGGGGTCCCCCCGTGGCTGATCGCCAAGCCAGCAGGGGCTGGCATGTGGGGTGTGGCGCAGGGGCACGGCGGACCCAGAACAGAAGTGTACCAGAAGTACTTCCAGTCCACTTCCAGGTCCGCTGCCGAGCATGTGGGGGGTCCCCCAATGCTCCTGTGGGATGCTCCATCTGCCCCACCATCTCAGTATTCATGAGCCACGCCTGGTACCTCAAGGTATGTAGAAAAAACATGTAAAGCTGTGTTTATGGCCGAATCGCTCATTCTCCAAATCAGCAGCTAATTTTCAGATTCGGATCCAGCCGATTCGAATCGGGGCAGTGATCCAAATCAACTAATTGAATTGTTGTCCGTATAGGTCAGATGACTGCCCTTGCATTTTAACTACAAGTTATACTCTGTGCTGAAGAAGATTACAAAGACAACTCAACAGATGTAGTGTTTGGATATAACACTAATGGCAGAAATGGAAGGAAGTAAAGGAAGGAAACCGGAAACACAAAGCATAAGAGAAATGTGAAAGCAGAACATGAAAATGATGTAATCCAGAGGTTCTCAAACTGTTGTCCGTGGACCACCACTGGTCTGCAAGCTCCATTCAGGTGATCCGCAGACAGGTTGCGGAACAATCGAGAATATCTGTACTTGGCCCTACACTTGATTTATTTTTTCTGACGATGGAGATTAAGTGGTCCGCTGAGACCCTCAGCAATTTTCAAGTGGTCCATGGAAAATAAAGTTTGAGAACCACTAATGTAATCTATCTAATATAGATAGCCCATTTAGGAGATGCATTATACTTGGATTTGATGGCCGGGATCAAGTGGGTCTTGTGTCTAGCATCCTCTGCCCCAAAATACTAGTAAAACACATACTAGGTACAGTCGCTCCTAATTAATTAGCATTTAGTCAATGCACAATCCTAGTAATTCTCACCAAACTGTAGTTTAATTCCAGTTCTCAATGCAAGGTTTGTAAAAGGTTACTGAAGGATGCCTTATCTTAAGACTTTACTAATTAAAATGGTGCTTTCTAGAGCATCGTTGAAGAATGTTGTATGAATTATAACTGGTTAAGTTGTACATGTCATGACAATGATGTAGTGTCCTTGTATTTGACTGATTGCCTAGAGTCTTGTCAAATACTGAAAAGTCTCACCTGTTTTTGCAGACAATGGGTGGTGAATCTGACTAAGATTCTACTCTGTTTTGAAGTGCAGTAATTGAATGTTACTGTCACAAAGACTAGTGAACTTTCCCAATGTTAGCACTGGGGAAAGCTAATATTTCAAATGGTAAAATGCAGCATAAAAATGATGCACAATTTGTATAATCTTGTATTGTATTCAAAACATTGGTGCTGTCTGTACAGAATTTTTGAGATGAAGGGGGCAGTATGTTGTTCAAAACTCGGTATTTCCTGTTATACGATTATTTTAACTTGACATAATCTTTTCTTTTTTTACAGAAAGAACTGAGCCTTCCAAGAAGAGGAAGTTTGTAAGTAGCTAAAATTTCTCTCTTTGTGTTCATGGCACAGTATGTGGTTTGACAGTTCTTCAGTATGCCTGAGCTTTTTTCACTGGGAGATAGAGTGAACGTTAAATGTGGCAGTTGATGGGCTTTATGATATATACACACACACAAAAAAATTGAGATTGGAAATTAATACTTATGGGTCAGTGTGCTCTGTTTTGAAGATATCTGTTGGTGTGCGGTGTAGTGGCCTTTTTTTATAGAAGATGGTATTATGAAAGATTTCTGGGGTTTATTAACAACAAAAAATGTTTCTTGTAGTGAAGTTTCTTTTATTTCAATTATTGTTGTAATAATTGGGCAAATGTTTGGCCTCAATGAATAGTGCAGATAGAACTACATTGTATTTATTCTGGTAGTTCTGAGATCAAACTCAATGTTGTTGATATTAAGGAAAATAAAACTAAAACTAAAGATTTTTGGTAAAGGTAGAAAGTTGTACATTTAAAATTTCTTAATCAGTGGAAGGACAGGCTCTGTGTGCATGTGTTCTTGCATGTATTATTATTTGGCTAGTAGATGTATGTGAACTTGATCAAATATACCAATACCTGTATGGCAGGGTGCACTTCGAAAATGTATGTATTTTGATTCTGTTTCTTTAGTGAATTGTGAACTATTGGATTTTATAGCCCGTGGTTGTTTTTTTCTGTATCTTTCTTTACGATGCTTCTGCAGGATTACATCCTTTAGAAAGCAATACTGTCCTGTATTTACTTAAGTGATAAAAACCATCCCATTCAGATGCAACCTAGAAATGTTGCACTTAAAATTGATTTAACAGTTGCATGACTTGGGGGAATCTTACCAGACAAAAATATTACCTCCTTTATTCAGTATACTCCAAACTGCAGCACCATCCAAATACAGCCATCTTTATGGTGGGCAAAAGTGGTTACTATAGGTATGCAGCGTGCAGCCCAATTATGTAGGCAAAGGAAACATTGGCAAAGAATGTGTGCTATTATGAAAAGTAAGGCAGAGCTGAAAAGTTCAGTATTTTAGGGGTTTCTTTATTTCACATACCCATAAAATAAATATCTAGAAGAAGGTTTTTAGAAAATGATTAATACATGTAGCATTTTAGCCCTCAAGAACTGCTAAGACTTGCCCTCCCAATATTTAGGTCTTATGCCTTTTGAAGAGTTTAAATGGTTTCCAAGTTAGAACATGGAATACATTGCCCAACTGTGAACTCAGTAACTAGATCTAAGAAACTGGGAACTGTTAAGTGGTAAATAGTCTGGAGCCATTCTTCTTTTGAGGTCTTATAATAGACTACATGCTGAACAGTTGACTAGATTTGGCATTATAAAATGTCTCATTTTGGTTTTAATAAGGCAGTAGTCTTGAAGATCACAAGCTAGACATTTGGACTGTTTTGTTCATCAGGCAACCTGGCCTTCTATAGGATTCTCAGAAAGTGTTTTAATTTTTCCCTGACTTGTGTATTTACATGGATTATAGTGTTAGAATTCAAAATACTGGTCATAGTGATGCGCTTAGGGTGGAAACAGTTGTCACCTTTGTGCCATCAGAATAATTTTTATAGCACCACAAAGTGAATGTAAATAGACATCCATACCTTCTGTTGCACCACAAATGCTCAAAGTAGTAATAAATTGGGCTGCTTTATTGTGGTCCACATCTGTTTACTAATGGTGGAAGAGCTCAGACAGTATGAAGCTGCCTGGGCTCTCTAGCCTCCCTGGGGCAGGGGCACCTTAGGTTTGAGGTGCCGGTCCTGTACACCCCAGGCTTTCCTGGGCAGGATTGCCCCCCTCAAGCCTTTGGAGCACCTGCCTCGCTTTCCCCACTTACCCAGATGCATCACTCCTGGGACACATGTGGGTAAGCAGGGAAATTCTACTGATATAATATAATAGTGCTTTCTCATTTGCTTCTGCTTTGCTGTATCCCTGGACAACCAATTCCAAACAGTCTTTTGTGGGGTGCTGTTTTGAGGACACTGCAAGATGAAGCTCTGAGACAGAAAGCTTAGAATGATTTTCCCTTTAGTGATTGAATAGTGAAGCCTACAGTTGCAGCACAGATTCATCCCATGATGGCATTGCTCCTGGCTTACTGTTTAGAGATATTGCGTCTTCAAAATTTAGACAAGTTGCCACTAGTTATTACCTCTCCATTATCGTACTCTAGAGTCTCCTGTATGGCCGAGAGAGAGAGAGAGAGCATAGGCAACAATGCTTAGCATTTATGGTGGCCAGTCTAAGGGATTCTCTATTGGTAACAGAACAAGAATTAAGTGGCTTTTCTAATCCTATTCTTCAATGGGTTGATGCAACAGAAAAGGAAGGGCATCCCCTCCCTGTCCCCCAGAAAACTGCACATTAGAAGAAGCAAGGGTGCCTGTCAGCTGTCTCTGCTTCCCCTGCAAAGATGGATAGTGAGAGTATAGAACTCAAGAAGCAACAGTAACTCTCATAATGGTAATAATAAAGGATCCCCAGAAGTTCTGGGGTAAGGTGCAGTTGTCTGACAGATAGAGAAGGATGTTCCACTGATGTAAGTGAATTTCCTTACAGCCTGAGTCCCTTCATCCCAACCCCGCCCCCACTCCTGCTCCTTCCTTCCTCTCCAGATGTGAAAAGCAAGTAGATCCTCAAACCCATGTTCAATATGAGTGTACTTAAAACTGGGTACAAGTATTTTACCCAGCTTTAATCCTCTTTCTGCCTTCCCAAAGTGTAGAGTATGTGATCAACACACACATGAATACAGAGGGCTGAAATGAGATGAAACAAAGTGGTGGGAAAGACATTTTATAGAAGCTGAAGGGCAAAGTCTCGGGTTTTATACACTTTTTTTTTTTTCTTTTGGGACCTGATTGCTCTCTTGGCAGTTACCCCTTGCTCAAATTGTTGAGGCAAGAGAATCTCAAGATGACTTCTTTCCCCATTGCAACAAAAGGTTTTTATAAAGAAAAGCCAAGATTAGTCATCACTAGATCTGACTAGATAACACGGGCACAGGAGCCTGAGGCATAAGACAAGACAGCATGTTGTTTTAAAATATTTCTAAAGAGTATGATCCATGTGGCTACATCCTGTTCACAAGACTTTGACTGTTAATTCCAGATGTGCATGTCTAATCCACAGTAGCTAATGTTTGGTTCTGCTAATTACCTGTCATATTAGTACAGTACCTTTTTATAAACTGTTGTGAGATTACAAAAGGCCATTGCTTTTCACATTTGTAGGACATGCAAATATGTTGTTTTTATTTGTATTGAGGATAAAAGTTCAAATAGCTAGGGTATTGTCAACAAGTATTTAGTGCCTTTATAGTAAATACTGTATGTTGAGAAGGTAGCAGTGACAACTGTATGTGTTTAACTGAAGGAAGAAGACCCTGAAAAATTTGTCATCAGTCTGCAGTTTGGATGGGCATGTGCAGGGAAGGATGATGGCGAGCTGTGTCTCAATCGTTTCAAGTTCTGTCAGGTAGGAAATCAATTAACCAAATTACAAGCACAAACACTGCTTTAAAATGTCAATAGTATGTGTTGTCTTTTACTTGCAAAGCTAATTTTAGTCTCCAATAATTAATGTGGTAGTAGATAAAGACTCTGTGGTTTAAAAAAAAAAATAAAAAAAATCTTATTTAAAACCTCCAGAGGCTTTATGTTCTCTAATGTAACTTTGCCACACATTACTTATATTGTGTGATTGACCGGTTAATTGCATAATAAATTTAGATTGGCCACAAGTGTATTATAAAACCAACCACACCTGCAAAATAATTATCATGTAATTAACTGGTTAATTGTACAATTTATTTAGATAGGCCACATGTGCAAAGTAATTATCACTGCATTAAAATGTCCATCCAGCTATTAAGAGCCAACCTGCTACAAAATTAGTGCTTGAAGATGTGTAACAACTTTATAGCTTGTTTCTGCCCTACCTTAATTTAAACGTGTAGCAGGACCCTTTAACAAATATCTTGGGTGCTTCAGTGAGGACCAAATCTTGGTCCTGTTGAAGTTAATAGCTGAACTTCCACTGGCTTTGAGAACTGCAGAAATTGGCCTTAGAGGGTCTCCCCCAGTATTACCATCCTATTTTTGCTTACTGTGGTGAATGTTTTAAAATACCTATTTTCATCAAGTTTTGAAAAATGGCTTCAGAGCAGGCATATTAATTGCATTTATATACAGATTTTATGGCCCTATCATTTGAGATGTCAGTACAAATTATTTTATAATGCTGAGGTTTTAATACGAGTATAACGTAAAAATATCTTTGCCAGCATAATCTTACCCAGCTATTAAAATGGTTAATGTCAGGATTCTGCGGCTTGTGTATATTCTTTTATCTGTATTGCGCACACTTTCCCAAACTGTGTTGAGAGTGGGATCTATAGCACTTAACCAACAGTACTGTTAGAATAAATATGCTACTGCAGAACCAGAGTTTGTCTGAAACCACATGGCTGGACTTTAATGTTCATATTATAAGTCCATTTAGTTGTGCAGTTCTCACCACTAAATGGGCAAGTAACCTAAAAGTATTAAAATAGAACTGGATTAGAACAGAGAGATTTGAAACAAATGCATTATTTCTGTATGGCCTTGAACTTCCAAAGTCCTGGATGCCTTTGCATATACTTGCTCCTTGCACTAGCAGAGCATTGCAGTCAGTCAGTGCTAAGGACTATGGTTGCTTCCCTTTCTCCTCCTCCCCACCCCCCAGCTGAAGCAAACCTAACCTAGTTATATCTTGCAGTGGGGAGACATTTGGTGGTAGTTAAACAATTTGTAAATACATACTTTTTGAAGAGGTCTTGGAAGCATTTGTGTATCACTCCCAGTCGACACCATTTTCTTTATTAATATTCTGCACTTAAAAAAATAGGCTAATGCAAATGTGTTAATATCTGGAGCATGGAATGTAAAAAAACTAAAGGGATCCTGCCTTTACCCTCTGCTGAAGCAGTAAAAATTAAGGAAATTTTCTTCACTAACTTACTACAGGGATGAAGTTCATATGTGGTACTGAAGTAAATTTACTGAAGCAAATAAGAATGAATGCACAATCTTGCTATTTCAGGTACACATGTACATGTCTAACTGTATCAATGCCAGAGCCAGTGTTGATTTTGCTTCATAATAAAAAAAAATGGTTTAAAATTTACAGGTTATTGTTAAGTATTGTCTGAGTATATATAAACAAGTGAACTCAAATACAGTAATTTCTTTGACAAGCCAGGCTGTATGGTGTGTACAATGCAACATACTCTATTAAAATACAGAGCTGCTTCTCATTGAGGATTTATCTACTTAAATTAAGTAGCTGGAAGAAGATGTCTCAACACATGCTGTATTTTAGGCAGATAAATTAGTGTTCCTGTCTTAGTAGTAGCATTTTTAAACATGAGAGCATGTACTCATCCTCTTATTTTTCCTCATTTGCAAAGTGGAAAATACAGTGCAACCAAATGAGTGCCATAATAAAATAACGTGGGTAGCATGAAATAAGTTCATGTCACACAAATCTTCTTTTCCTGTGTATTATTGAGCATTCCTAGTGTAAAAAATGGAGAAAAAAATTCTCTAATAAAAGTAAATTAGCAGCTGGTTTGTACAAGAGAGTAATAAATTTTGAGTTTAAACTGATAGGCATTGAGGGATAGATGATCATGCTTAAATTGAAATATGTTTTCTTATCTTTTCTTTGGGGCATTACTTTTTCGTCTTAACATGCCATATGCTGCAATAGTTGGAGAATTTGGCAAAGCACCTGCTTTGGAAGTTGAAATACTGAACCATTCTGAAATGACTTACATTTGTTTTACTGTTTATTGTTGGCTGGTTTAATTGTTGGGTTCTCATTCTGAAAAAATAGTACAGGCAACCCCTGCTTAGCGCTCTTAATTGGTTCCTGAAAAACTGAGCATTAAGTAAAACCGAAAGTATTTGATGACCCACGATGGCAACTGCAATTGTTTTTAATGACCCAAGATGGTGACCGCGAGTGTTATAATGAAACTTGTTGAGCTCTAAGTGAAATCAGATATCAATTTAAAATGAGTGTTTATAGCAAAACAGCATTAAGCGGGGGTTGCCTGTATGTATGAACAAATGTAGTGGGATAAAATATAAGAAACCAAAACTATTAGAATAGTAGAAAATAGGGCTGAAAGGGACTTCAAGAGGTCACATAGTCCATCCCTGTAGTCTAAGGCAAGTAGACCATTCCTGACAGGTTCTTGTCTGTCTAACCTGTTCTTATCCTCCAGTGATAGAGATTCTACTGTCTCTAAAGGCCTGGACAGATGATGCTTACACTAGTGCAACTTGCAGTGGTTCAACACACTGATGTAAATTATATCAGCATCAGCAGTGGACTACTTAGTGCTATTTGTAGGTAGCTTACAAGCAGTGTATGTTTGAAATCTTGCTATGTTGAACCCCAAACCCAGTGGTTGGTTTAACAAATGGCTATGTTATTGTCAATTGGATAGGGTTAGTCTCTTCCCCCCTGCCCTTATCCAGTGATATCAGCTGCCTGTCTTCTAATTTACAATGAGTTTGTTCATTATGTGAACCAAATTAAATGGTTGAACCTTCCATGCACGAAACCAGATTAAGGCCCTGGACAGATGTAACATTTTGAAGAGTTTAAAATACCTTTAAAGCACTCCAAACAGTAAATGTATGTGTTCATGGCTGACGTGCATCAGAAGTGATCCTCAAAAAAGTTTGTGAAGCTCTTCTTGAAATGTCTCTGTACTTCACTGAGAGCAATAGGGACTTGCTTGGTCCTATGGCATCCCAGAGTGCTCCATTCTTCCCATCCTATGTGGGGCAGAAGGGTAAGGGTGCAAAGAGTAGGGCAGATGGTGGATGAGTGCTATCCTGTGTGCTCAACTATCCTTGGACACCTGTGAAAGCTAAGGAGTGCAAGGAGTCCTTCATTTTTATTTTTAAGATGAATAAAGATATTAGCCACTTTCACACTCTTTGGCTCATCATTTTTGTGGGATTGATCTGGTTGCATATTCTTGAGCAGAAAATATTCTGCTAAGGCATTGGCAGGAGGGAGGTATTTGTTTTTGTCTGTGGAGTAAGAAATTTCAGAACATCTTTTAAAATGTTTTAACCATTTCTTTTATATGGCCTCTTTCCTCAAATATTCCTTTTGTTCTATGTAGGTTAAGCAGGAGCTGAAGTTCTGTTTAACTGAGTGCAGATGTTCCTTTTTCATAGATGTAGATGTGCATAATATAATGAGACTTGCAGCTCCAGTATAGTCTCTTAAACCAAATTCATCCAAAAAAAATATTACCTTTCTTAAAACCTTGGAAAATTAGTTGGGTCTCTTTGAGTTTGGTAAGGGAGTTGCTTAATAGAGCTGTGTGAAGTTTCAGTCCCCGATTCAATTCAGCAGAGATTTGGCCCAATTCATGCCAAATCGGTAGCTGAATCTCTGAATCTGAATCAAATCAGGAGATCCTTTAATCTCGCCAAATTGAATCAGAACCCCCCGAATCGATTTGGAGAGATTCGGAAAGATTCGATGATTCGGATATAGACACAGCTTTAAATGTTTTTTGTACGTACCTCAAGGTACCAGGCAGTTCGTGAATGCTGTATTGGTGGGGCAGATGGAGTGTCCCACAGGAGCACAGGGATGTGCTCCCAGCATGCTCAGCAGCAGATACAGAAGTGGACCAGAAGCAGTTCTGGCCCACTTCCAGGTTTGCTGGGGAGCATGCTGTGGGGATCCCCCATGCCTTTCTGGCTTGGTGACTGGTGCCTTCTGGGTCTGGGGAGGCACCCGGGGTCCCCCCCACAGCTGATCCACTTCTGGATTTGCCACCGAGCATGTGGGGGGCCCTCCCACAGGACACTCCATCCGCCCCAGCATCACAGTGTTCATGAGCTGCTCCTGGTACTTCAAGATACATTTAAAAAAAAAAAAAAAATTAAAGTTGTGTCTATGGCTGAAATTGCTGATTCTCCGAATCAGGATCAAATCTTCGGATTCGGCCGAATCGAATCGGGGACAGTGATCCAAATCGATGAATCAAATCACTGTCCCCAACTTGGGCCGAATCCTAACTGAATACGGCCCGTTTCACACACCCCTGTCACTTAAGCATTGCTAAATAATGGTCAGGTCCAGAAAAGGATTTATGTGCACTTAAAATTTTAAGTTTTAAACTTTTAAAATTTCACTTTACATAGAATTAAGGTACCTAGATTCAAATGAATAATCCACAAAAACCTTGGATAACTGCTCAGGTGCCTGAGAGATGGTAGGTGCCTGTTTTTTTGGTGAAAATTCACTTGGGAATCTAGATTTCAGCTTTGATGCTCACTCAGATGCTGAAATTGGGAATATAATGCCACCCAAGGCCACTGAGAAATTAAAACAGATGTAGAGGGATCCCTAGCTCTCCTCAAGGATTCAGTCCAGTAGGCTTGCTCAAGGTGTGCCAAATGTCAGCAAACAGCACTTGCACCACATGCATGGGTCCAGCCCGGCACACAGGGGCATGTGCCTTTGGGTCCCAGCACCGCACACAGGGGCTGCACTTTGGGCTGGGCCAGGTCCTGCCACCATGGAACCAGCCTTGCCTGATGGTGCGTGGGGCATTTGGAGGCAGGACCCAACCAAGCCCAATGTGTGGTTCTTGTGTGCGGTGCCAGGATCCCAGGTGACAGCAAGAGTGGCCCAGTCCTGGCTGAAAGCACATGCCCCCAGGTTGGGCTGGACCTGGCCACCTACCTGTCTGTATGTACCCCCTATGACCTTTCTATGTACCCCTGGGGGCACGTGTACCACCGGTTGACAACCTCTGCTTTAGGTCATTTTCAGCTATAGATGAAGTGCTTCTTATTTCATAACCAAGCCTCCCATGCATTCAATACAGTCACTGTGCCTTTTGTTCAGTAAAAGTTCTTGCAAAGCTGTTCTTAAGGATATGAACATTGAGAAAACATGATGGATGTTGTACTGTCGTGGTTGGCAGATTTGCAGAGAATGAGATTTTCAAGGGGTATTCAAGTTTTGACATCCCAAGATTAGTGATATTTGGTAGGCGATTCCTCTAGTGTTGTTTCATGTCATTACAATGAACTGGGTTACTGGCATAACTTGTCACTATGGTCTTATTAGTCAGCTCATTGCACTTCCCCCATAGTCAATTTGATGTGTATGTAAAATACTCTGGCTAATGTATTTAATAGATAATGCATAGTAATTTCCAACTGTACTTACGTACTAGGTCACAGTAGATCTTTTAATTGCTTGGCTTAAAAAGTCCTGATCCTGTGCCCTCCCTAGAACTTGCTAAGCCAACTGATGCTTGCAAGGTATTGGATATTCTTATAGATTCATAGATGCTAGGGTCGGAAGGGACCTCAATAGATCATCGAGTCCGACCCCCTGCATAGGCAGGAAAG